GATTTATTTTTTTATATATGATGAGTGAATTGAAAGTCGGTGAATTGATTTATCTGTTGCTCGTGTACGATGAAATATTATATGATTAAGATTATTTATTTATTTATTTAATTTACTTATTATTTATTTATTTAAGATAATTGGTTAGAGGAAGAGGAAAGCGAGTTAAAATTTCTATAGCAAAGTATATTCGCGCGTAATTTCGAACGAATCGAAGAAACAAATTCAACATCCTGAGATTAGAATTTCAATATCGATTTCTCGAATCGAAAGGAGAATTAATAGAAGGAAGGGAAAGAGGAATTGAAAGGAAAATGGAAACAATCTTCACGCGAAGAATGAAAAGTAAAAATAATAGGAAGTGGGGTTATGCGTGTCACGTTATTTGAACGATGATTAAACAACCTTCGAGTCGCAATTTCATCAATTTCGAACGAAGCGAGAGATGGGAACGAGGCAACGATGTGTTGGTCACCGTGCGCAGGTGGATGACCGGAAGAAGGGGGTTAGGTAGTAGCCGCGTAGGTCGAGAACGGTGGAGACGATATTTCATCAGGAGAGGCACAGTGGTCGAATGGTTTTATTAAAAAGCGCGAGTTGGCGTTGTAGAAAAAGAGGGGGGGGGACAAAAAAAGCGGACGCTGGATTTATGCCCGAGAAAATCGGGAAAATTCGCGATCCACGCCGCTTGAAGGGAATTCTCTGTCTTTTTTTTTTTTTTCCCTCGTGGCCATCGCGATTTCTTGCGACCGAAACTGCATTCATCTTTCTACTCTGCTCCAGGTTTTTACCACGTTTCAACGAGATTTCTCGACGTCACGTGTCCTATGTTTAATGAGGCGTCGAAGGTAATTGGCACATTAACCATAGCCGTGTTTTTATATCAATTTTACAAGCGTTTTCTGTAATATATATTTGTGATTTTGTGATCCTAATTTTAATATTTCTATTCTGATGAGTTTCATTAGAAGAAGCGTTGAGAATTTCTTTATTTCATTAACTGGAAGAGGATATTAAAATTTCACGCAATATGATGTCTTCGTCACTGATAAAAAAAATCCAAATTTTTCCATTTTTTCTACGTGAAATATTAACTCATTCCCACTCGACACGCATATTCCCACAACCAACGAATAAATCATTCTCGAATCTCCGAACTGCATAAAAAGGGAAACGACCGTCGACGACGAAAATCGTATCCATCCGTGTCTTCGGCAGGGCATCTAGGCGCGAAAAAGCGCGCGATCGGGCGGAGAAAACGACTCGTTTCCGGCGAATCGAGCACGGGTCAACGATGATCAACGATTTCGAGGCGCGTTAAAAAGTAATGGAACATCGTGTTTCACCTAGGCGGTAAGGGTTGCTACGGGGGGCGCGGCCACCCCTGTCAATAATTCATCCTTTCAATTTTCCGCGTTATCCGGTTAACGCCGCTCATCCCGTCTCGTGTTTCGCTCGAGTGTGTTGGCAAACCCATCCAATAATTGTTCAGGCTCGATCGACCGCCATCATTGCCAAGGTGACGCTAATTTTTACGAATTTCATTTCTCTTCTTTCCTTTTTTTCCATCTAATTTCCATCTCTTTGGAAAAGTTAGACGAGATCTTTATAAATTGTATTCAATTGTAATGTATTTTATGTCTACTGAAATATAAGTTATTGTAATTAGGATTGATTAGGATATAGAAAACGTACCTTTATATCACGGTGATAAATCATTGAAATCACAATTGAGAAATTTTCACATGGAAGATATGAGAAGAAAATTAAAAAAATTAAAGTCACTGTTTACAAACGATTGCCGAGATACGAGGTTTCGAAATATTTATAGCGATTAAGACAAAATTATGAACTCGTAACTCAAACTTTTTCCTGGAAATGCGTATTACGTTTTTCTAGGAATCGTTTGTTTGTTTGTTTGGGATAGGTCGGTGAGGCGAGACGCCAGCGAGAGATCCGAGTAACAGATAAGAAGACGATTAAAAATTATCTTTCTCTTTACACGATGATATCTCGAGAAGCGAAAGTCGTATCGAGATAAATTAAAAAGAGTTTTAAAGAGCAAGCTTTCGCGCTTCTAATGATCTTTCATTCGTTGATTGGAAGTCATTATCTTCGAAGTTATAACGGTTTAAAGTTTTCTTAATTTTAATGAAATTTTAAAATTACGCGACGGATATAATCATATATATAAAACAACACAACGATCTTAGTAATGATATATTAAAGATTAAAATATTGATATAATTTGATTATTCTTTAAAAAATAATAATTTAGAATTACTTACAATTATTATGCTGTTCCGAAATGTAGCTCCGTAAGGAATTTTCTAATTTTATTAAGCTTCGTAATACGCATGGACTACTGTACCTGAAACAGAAAAAATATTGTATTAGTGTAAGTTCAACGAAGGAATATAAAAGGGATTTTAGGGAAAAACTGAGAAAAAAAATGGAAAAAGAAAATATCGGTGAAATTAATACAGCGAACAAGGTATAATCGAGAAAATGTATTTTTTTCAGGATAAAGAATTTCGACGAAATTTATAAATGATTCAAGCAGCAATTCGTCGAAATCGTAGAAACGAGAGGATACTAATTGGCATTTCTGGCGCACGTGAATTCGATCGGTTAATTAATTAAGTGTGCCCGTCCTGCCAGCTCGAGCATACATTCGATAAATGGAACTAAGCTCCTCCTCATCCTTTATGTGGTTTAGATTATTCCCTCCTATCAAATTTTCTATCTCTTACCGATGAGGAAATTAAAACAAATATTTTCTATCCACATACACGCATATATCTCGAATAATATGTGAATTATATTCGAGAGAGGAAAATTTGATATAATATATTGTAATTTTGTAATCCATAGAGATCAATGATAAAAGTAACACGGTGATTTATCTTGGAATAATAATTTTATGAATTTATAAGTTCTATTAATTAATTCTGCAGATTTATAAATTTAAAGAATTTTATTATACGATATATATAACGTGAAAATATTACACGATTATTTTTCTCGCATTTTTCCCCCTTTTTTTTATATGTATGACAACACCATGTAACGAAACGAATTTCGATTCTCCGCCACAAAATATCAACAATGCAAACATATTTCAAACACGAACACGTTTCATCAGATCGTCGTCCATCGTGATAAAGGTTGCAGATATTTCAATACAATATTTTCTACCTTCGAATCATTTTTAGTTTACGTTTCAAAACTATATTAAAAAAAAAAAAAATCAAAAAAAAAAAGAAAAATGACATAAACAATTGCTATTTCCGTCTCTGTTCATTTTGTGAAATGTAACTTGTTTGAATTTCACGTCATAGTGATTCGTGACTTTATAAACAATTTTCTCTTTTTATTACTCTATGATGGCCTGTTTTTTTAAAATATTTATTTATTCTTTTTTTTTTTTTTAATATTTGAAATATCTATCGCGGAGAGAAATAAGCGAGGCACCGATTCGTTATAACGCGTTTTTTTATTTTTTTTATTTTTTTTCCATCGATCCGGATGAGAATAATTTGCAACAACGAGATTAAGCTACTTTGCAATTTTATCTGCCGGCCGATGCCGTTAATTCGCCCCTCGACTTTATCAATAATATCGCGTTCCCAACATTTATTGCTACAATTGATCCGATTATCTTATAGATATTACGCCAAGTGTCGGTTTTAACTCTTTTGTATACGTATACTTAACGCAAATGTGTGTATCGTACGTGGAATTCTCCATCTTTGATGATGAGTCATCGATAGAAGAGTTGTCGAAAGAAATTTGAAATTGAAAGTAATATTTTTCAAACGAATATATAGTATAATAAATGCTTATGTGTGTGTGTGAAAAATCGCGAATAAATTATTAATTTTATGATTTAAAAGGATGGAAAAATGAAAATTATAATGAAATTGGTATATTCAGATTTTAATGTAATTTATATAATGTTATGCGTTTCAATTCAAACACTTGGAATGGGAAAAAACTTTCATCTATTATTAGAGATTGTTTGAAAATTCTGGATATTTATTATGCATCCTTATAAATTGCGCAATACTTGTTGTTTACGATTTTAGATTTTACTCCAGTCTCCATGTCACAGATTTATCAAGAATATATCTTTTTGATTGTTTGAAAGATCAACAAGAAAGTTGTTCGTTGCATTGGATTGCCCGCAACACGAAGAAATTTCTTTGCAAAGTTTACAGGGGTGGAAGTTGGTGTTTACAATGCAACTTGTGTCTAATCTTACCATGAGCTAACTTGTTTAACTTCGACGTAAAATTGTCAAATTGCACGAATACGTGACCTGAATGATTATTCAGAGATATTTTTCAACATTACCTCTTCATCGTCTGAAGATTAATGTCATCAAAATTCTATTAAACAGTGTGAAGAGATACTCATATGGATAAATTATGAATATAATTAAAGATAATTAAAGCTCTTTTATATCAGTAAAACTATATTAAAAAAAAAAAAAATTTCTTTCTCCATCTACCAAAGAAATGAAAAATTGATTCTTGTTAATTCTGATTTTTCTCTAGAAAGGTATAAAAATATATCAGAATCTTCAATTTTTGTTCGAAATTTAAAGAAATTTATATATTCAATTATTGTATGTGTTATCTATAATTATATTACAGAAGAATCTATATCCAATCAAATATCCTTCAATTTTCTGAACCTAAATCCTAAATCCTAAAATTATTAAAACTTTCCATTTTCCAATAATAATCGAAATAATCGACCAATTTCAAGAAAAGACACAAGAAGAATTATGCAAACTCGCTTCTTCCATTAGAAAAAAAAAAAAAAAGAAAGAAAAATCAAAATAATATCACAGATTTACAGAGAATAATGGCGCACCAAAGTCCACAAACAAATTCGTCCACAAGGCTCTGTAATAAACATCTCCAATTGCTCAAACGCAATGGGATTATCAAATATCATTGGGCTGTGCATTAATAAGCCGGCCATTTATCGTTCGCTAATTTTCTGTAATTAAATAATGGACAATACGCGGCCATCGACAATAGAAAATCTCGTTTGCACGCAAAGCGTGTACACTGGCACAATGTACATCGGATGTTCGACGAATTTTCCCTCGAATTATCCTTGCAAAATGTCATCCGACGAATCCTCCTCTGTCACGAGCCGCTCCGCCTTTATCCGCGTGAATTCCACCGGTACACGGTAATCCAATTTATCGGGGATCGTGTATCGTGTGTTTGTTATTGTAAAAAAAAAAAAAAAAAAAAAAAAAAAAAAAAAAAAAAAAAGAAAAAAGAAAAAAAAAAGAAATTGAGATTGTTGCAATAGATGAATCAATGATAACAGCGATAAATAGAGATAAATAGAGTTTTATCTAATAATTGGAAGAGGAAAAAATATCGATCGATGCGCGATGAAATTTTAATAATTTTTTATTTTTTATTTTTAAAGGAGAATAATTATTTACGATAATGATAATGAATGATTCGTTTGGGCAAAAAGGGGATATTGATGACCGATAGGATGAAAATTTGTAAAATTTTGTATTGATTCATGATAACATTTTATTTTAAGGGAATGATTATATTTTTACGTGAAAATTAATAAATGATTAAATATTGGAAAATATAAATTATAACTATAAATTAGTTATAGGGGAAAATTTTGTAAAAAGGGAATTTAAAAAGATGCAAATATTAAGATAGAAGAATAATATAAAATTTCTCATTCAAATAAAAAATTAAATCTTGAAAGTTAATATTAAAACTGAAATTCTCAATAATTAATTCGAAATAATTAAAAATCCAAATTATACGTATTACAATTTAAATATACAATATTTAAAATATATCGTCCATTTAAATTTTGAAAAATGGTCTCATTCCAAACCGAACGAAAGAAACGATAAATTTTTCAACAACCTCTAAAGTGAATTTGTGAAACAGGATCCATCGTGCACGCATTTTAGAAACCAGACGGAGTAGAAACAAGCTACGTTGTTCATTCCTACTTTTGCGTCTCATTCAGCATTTACGCGATCCCTGCTCAGGGTATTTTTCCCAGGGCGCTGAGACACCAGTAATTCAAGGGAACGCGGCCACACCGAAGAAGCTTTACTTCTCCACTATGAATTCCTCCCTTGGGAACTTGGTCGCCCGTGTGCACGCTTCTTCCTGCCTCTTTGTTTTCTCTTAGTGCTCCCTTCGCTTGCAAAACTCATCGCGAATTTCGTAGGATAAGGTTTAAAAGGGTTGTCTACATAAGAAGAAAATGGATATATCTTCTTTTTTTTTCTTTGTATATTCTGCTTCTTTTGCCTTTTTCTTTTCTTTCTTCTCTCTTATTTTTTTTTTTTTTTTTTAAATTTT